GACACCTAACACAACAGAAGAATGTATATGCTTATTATATGTTTATGAGAGATCTATCCATGATGATGGACTAGTTGAATAACAAATATATATCATCACTTCTGTCTGTCTCCTCTCCTTTTGTTAACTGTAGATGTATTTTGTACCATTTATGTTAACATCCTACTCAAGAAAACATGAATTTAGAAAAGTATTGATGATTGAATATTATTATTGACGTTCAGGTAGCACTAATCTTTGGAAAAATCTCATTTGAGATGTGGGAGGATTAGTTTCACCTGACTTTAGCTGCTGAAAGGTGGATGACTTCTATATAAGTCATTTAGAGTGGGTTGCATAACCTTCCAAAGGTGCTTATCTTTCTCTACCAACTATACAGAAGTCTACAGTGACTTGCATAATCCAGACTCCTACCTTTTAGGTCATTAAAATTTACTTCAAATGAGTTTCACTAAAATTCTGCTCTTAATAGAGCAGAAATTATTCCTGCTTATGTTTTTTCAAGTGTTAAACATGATTTTAATGCAACTACTAAATTAATTAAATTACATAATATTTAATTGTTATATTTATTGTTATTATAAAATGTAAAGATATTTTTGAAAGAGTTTCAGTAGTGCAGAAAATGTATATTTAAATAACACTGTGTTGTATGATAGGTAAATCTGATGCAAATAAAAAAGTATCATTATTGACTGTGTATTGTTATTTATTGGCTAATGTTCAGGGATTTCACAGATGATAGAAAAAAAACAAGAAATTTTAACTGTTTGCAAAGAGTTAACCTTGGCTAACAGCCAAATTCCCACCCAGTTACTTCTTCCTCTCAGCATGTCAGTGGGAGAATATAGGATAGGAAAGGTAATGTGTTGACATAAAGACAGGGAAATTGCTTAACAATTGCCTTCACTGGCAAAACAGAATCAAAATGGGGAAAATAAATGTAATTTATTGCCAATTGCAGCATCTTTGTGTAAGGACAAACAAAGGGAAATGTAACAATAACACATTTCCTCTCTTCCCTTTCCAAGCTCAACTTTCCTCCTCTCCCAACACCTTTCCCAACAGAGGCCATACCTGCAGTCTCCTGCTGACACCGCCTTGACATCTGCATCCAATATGCTGATTTTTCACTCCTGGTTTTATTTGTTTTCCTGCTTTTATTCTTAGTCTAAGAATAGATAAAGAAGGTCTTCTGACAAATATGTCCCAATACTTCTATTTAAACATGTAAACAAATGTAAATAAAATCTGAAAATAAGAGCAGTAAAAAATCACTTCCTTTCTCCTATTTTTCAGTTTTGGTTCAGCACTGTGAATTTTATGTAGGTTAATTCTAGTTCCTAATACTGTCCCTCATGTGCATGTGCAGCTTTAGGAGATTCTTGAGTGCTTACAAGGAAAGATATACCCTCCTAAGAATAACTAAAAAAGTAATAGAGATATGCCTGCATTTGTATTCAAGCTTGAGTGGTGTATGGCAGGTTCACTAACAACAGACAGCTTTCTGGATACTATTCCCAAATGAAATGAGAGTGTATTTTTACATTCCATGCATGGAAAGCAGCATCGGACTGAAACTATTCTCTTATTCTCTTACTTTGCTCACCTTAATACTTGTGAGCTGCTGACTTTACTTTCCATTAGCCTTATGCCTTTTATTTATTTATTGGTCAGATGTTATTTGTCATCAGAAATCTTTATTATTTCTAAGATGCTGATGCAGTAAAGTGAAGTTGAAATAAAGGATCCAAGTTTGTATTCCAAAGTTTAGGCTGATCTAGTAATATAACTTTTACTTCTAGAGCTTAAGCTTTTACTGTGTTTTTCATAGGCGTGTTGAGGCTACTTATTTCTGTCAAAAAGTGAGGTCTGTCGCTCAAAAGTCATATTGAATTTCCCAGCATGGATTTAAAGGAACAGATGGATAACCACAGTCAATGTTGTCTTAATTTTGGAAATGACAAATTTCAGGTATAGTTATCAATAGTATTTTCAAATTTAAAACCTCCAGTACATATATTTTTTCATTATTTATTTCCAGAAATATTTTAGTGATTTGAGTTATTTAATTGTGAATTCACAGAGTCTGAAGTAGTAGTTGGAGGTGCAAAGCATGATGGACCTTCATAGGTGATTGAAATACACACCGAAAAAACCTCTCAGTTTAACACAACAGTTCATATAGAATTTATTATTGTTCTCAATACAACAGTCTGTGAGAATTATATATTCTTACATTTCTGGCTCATAAACTTTGAAATTTGTCATGTTCTTGTGTAGATTAATGTTAGTGTGTTATTTCTCAGACTGCAAACTGTTGATGTTATAAGCATTTTCTGCAGGCTGGAACACAATGTAAACACAGTAAAGTCTTTTAAGTTCTCAGCAGTGCCATTTAAAAGCATGAAATCTGAATTCCAAGTTTACATTACTTCAGTAACTACATCATGTTTAGGTCTGAAAGCTATTTCAGTAATGACTTCTTAATGTGATTTCTTTTCACGAAAGGTGTAATATGCCTGATTCTAATGTCACTTGTACCATATTTGCATTTTTTAAGAGAGTTTTTCTTTTATCACTCTTTTACATGTGTAAGCTTTATAATACTGTAATGTCACAATTGACAGAATTAGTTATTTATGGAAAATAAAGGGTGTGTTTCTGCTTATAATTACACCATAACATATGAATGCACAGTTATTGAAATGGTTAATGCTTTATCACAATAATACTGAAACCAAACCAAACATGCAAGGAAATGCAGCTACATTTGAAAGGAAATTGCAAAGAGGCTACAGAGCAGATATATATTATACAGACAGCCATTTACAGAAATATACTGTTTAAATATGCTATTCAGTTGTGAAAAAAATTGATTTAGCTGTTGAACTGATGGGATGTAGGCTTTTAGATTATAACTAAATTTCAATACATTGTTTCTAAACTAAAATTAGTGATATAAAATAAATAAAGACCTTTGATATCTTTATAAACGAACTTTTTTTTTTATTCCAATACTAAAAGAAAAGTATTTTGTACATGAAACATTTCTGGAATATTGGATCAGCTCAGTATTTAAGGTAATCCTCATCGTTATGGCAGGGCCATGTGGCAAACATGTGCCTTTGGTTTTACCTGCTCTGGACCCTCTGGCCATCCCCTCCAGGCCCCCTCTGACCCAGCAGCCACTGTGGGGCTTCCAGGCCGGGCTGAGGGGCCAGGTTCTCCCTGTCCCTGCCAGTGGGAGCTGGGTGTGGGGCTACAGGAGCTGTGGCTGTTCCAGTTTTCCCGGGCTGGTTGGGACTGACAGCTACTGCGGGGCTTGCCTAGGTGAGCTCCCGGGGCTGCCCTGAGGGACATGAGGCCACCCCCCCTCCGTGAGGTTCCACACATCCCTTCCCCCTCCATACCCATGGAGTGGAGTGGACTGATTAGAAGATGGAGTCTGATTGCGAGCTGAAGTCTGTTTGCCATTGTCTCCAACGTGGAGTTCAAAAGCCTGGATGGCACAGCCGGGCTGCTGCAGGAGCCGAGCTCCTTGCCAAAGCTGCCGGAGGCACCCAGCAAGCCAGCAGAGGCAGGCAGACCAGCAAAGAAGAGAAACAGTTCTTCCAACCCAAAAGCACAGCAAGGACTCGCTCTCCCAAATCAGGGGTGCCAGGCAGATCTTTCTTGGAGACTGGGGAAGCAGCCTGGGGACACTCAGGGCCCATCTTGGTGCCAGGAGACCTCAGCTGGGATCCTGGTGACCTGGCCATGGAGCATCTGGGGGTACCACAGCGAGGGGATTTAGGGCCGTGCCCAGGGACTGTTGGGGGCTGTTGGAGCTTTGCTGAGGGAGCTGCTGCCTCTCTGTTCCCCTGCCGGTTGGGCTTCTGTGGGAACAAGTTAAGCCAGCAGCAGCTGCATTCAGTTAGTTAGGATCAACCAGGAGTGTTTTGGCCTTGACTGGTTGTGGGAAGTAGCAGAGACTGTGGAAAGCTGCCTTAGGGAACTAGGGGGCAGAAGCATGATAGAAATAGTAACATTAACATGGTATAAAAGGTAGCAACTGTAACAAAGAAAGGTCTCAGTATCCCCGATGAGCTGAGTCCATGCTTTAATACATCACAAGTGGCGCCCGAACAGGGACCTTAATAAAATGCCAGAGGGAGGACGTCTTACCTGTGGCATAGCTTGTCTGGACGATGGGCTGAAAGGAAACCCAGGTGCACTGCAATTACCTTACTGCTGGACAGCAGGTAAGCAGCCGAGGACGTGATGGGGAACTCTATACCCAGAGAGCATAAGAATGTAATCAAAGTATTTAACATAATTTGTGTAAGCAACAGCAAGAGCTATCAGATATGGACTTAAAGAGGCTGTTAGCATGGGCTTGTGACAATGATCCTCACATAATTACATACACTGTTTGTGATGTGGAACGATGGGACAAAATCAGAGCCCGTCTGCAGGACAAAGCTATTAAAGACGACAAAGAGGCCACAGAATTTCTAAGCCTTTGGTGGACCCTCTATGAGGCCCTGAAAGTCTCTGTTGGGTCCAAGAAATCCCACCCACTGCCAACAGAGACAGTGCTTCTTTGGGAAGCACTTTCCTTGGGAAGCAAGCCCCTTGCCTCCCCAGGGATGACCCAAGTCTTGGGTTTTCTTGGGGAACCCCAGCACACCCAGCACTGAAGATCAGCAAGATCTTCAAGTGCACAATGCTGTGCAAGTGGCCCTTCAGGACAGGCCCCTTTGCATCCTGAAGTGCCCGTGTCCCTGGGGGTGTACCCACGGCTCAGGGGGCAAAAGAGAGGCAGGAACGGGCCCATGAGCTGCTGAGGGTTTGTGCCCTTTCAGTTGCACCAAGACACAGATAAGGGGGAGAAAGCCAGGGTTTATTAACATCAGGGGTAGGGGAGGAATGAAGTGGGGTGAGGAGAAGGGAATAGATAGAAGGGAGCCGTCTCTGGGGCTGCAAAGGCCAGGAGCTGCCTGGCCTTGCGGGCTGGCTCAGTTGGGCCCAACATCAGCTGGAGCTGCAGCTGCGCTAAGTGGTCCCTGGGCTGTGGTGGGGGGCTGTTGCATGGACATTGGTCGTCTCAGCGGAGCAGGTGGAGTTCTCATGGCACGGCTGTAAGTGGCCATGAGTGCAGCTCTCATATTGGAGACGGAGGGGCAGTCATCGTCGCTCATGTCTGTAAGGGCTGGAAGAGAAAGGAAGGGAGCCGGGGTCAGAGCACAGCTGTGCGAGGACCTGAGGAGCCCCTCCTGCCAGGGCCATGCCAGGCAGCTCTTGGCACGGCCAGGAGGGAGCAGGGGCCAAGGGGATGAGTGGGAAAGTGCTGGGCACCAATGGGCACCGTGCCCCTACCATGTGTGTGTGCTCTGGCCACGATGTGCAGGGAGCAGAGCCCTGTGCAGGCAGGGCAGGGATTGCAGCTCCCTGCCCAGCGTCTGTGCTGGTCCCTGGCAGCCCCCAGGGAGGCCCCGCTGCCCTCACTCACCTTTGAGGATGGGCCACAGGTCTTGCTGCCACTCCCTCATGTGCCAGCCGGCCACCCCTGGGAACACAGAGGCTGTCAGGGCCCCAGGGGCTCCGCATTGGGAGGCCCCAGGGCTGGGCTGGCAGAGGGCGGCAGCAACCGCCAGGGCAGTCGGGGCTCCCCAGCACATCCCTGGGCCGCATCCTGCAGCCGCTGCAGCAGCTGGGGCTGGGGCCGAGCTGCAGCGGGGCGGGGAGGGACCACGGCCTTGGGGCTCACCCATGAACCTGACGGCTGCCTCTCGCAGGGGCTCCTGTGGGCTCTGCAGGTAGGGCAGGGCCTGGTGCAGGTGCTCGCCCCTTCGGCTCATGTCCTTTCCCATCTGCAGAGAGTAGGGGAGTATCTGTGGGGGCAGCAGTGGGCAGGGGCCCAGGGCCAGCCCCGCACACTGGGCATTGGGGGCTTCTCCAGCCTGGGGCTGGGCCTTCGTGCTTGTCCTTACCAGGCAATCACAGAACCTGAAGGGCTGCTCCGTTTTCAGCAGCTGCTCCAGGTCCTTCCTCTGGAGGAATCTTGTAGCCCAGAACAGCGCTTCCCGAGCGGCCTGCAGAGCAGCAGAGAGCGGGACATGGCACCACAGCCCAAGGCACAGCCCCTGTGTCCCTGCTCCAAGGCCAGTAGGAGGCTGGAGTCCTTGAGGCCCCAGGGCAGGAGGCAGCCCAGCCCCTGCCACGCGGACACCAGAACCCAGCAGTGCTCACCTGTGCAACGCGCTGGTTCTCGTCATGCCAGCGGAAGAACAGTGGGACCAGGCTCTGGCACACCTGCATCTCCCAGGGCTCTGTTCCCTCTTCCGCCAGCAAGTCCATCACCTCTCGGAAGAGGCGAATGGAGAGCAGCTGCACGTGGCTGTTGTCCTGGGGCCAAAGAAGACACAAAGACCTCAACACTGCCTGCTCCAGGCCCACCAGGCCCAGGCCTGAAACTCCACCAAGTTTACTGACAGCACCCAGTGCCTGTGGCTGGGGGCACAGAGCCTTACGTTGTCAAAGACTGGTCGGAGTGCCTCAGCCAGCCTCGGGGCAGTGGAGCTGAACTCGTTCCTGTTTTCTCCATCCTGGAGCACATTCCGGAACAGGGAGAGGGTCATCGTGACCAGCTCTCCATCTCCATCACACAGCAGCTCCAGGAGGTGCTCAGACAGGCTGCAGATGCCTTTGGCCTGGGTGGAACACAAGGCTGTGCTGGGAGGTCCTGAACAGCTGCCCCACCAACCCCACTCTGGCACTGCAAACCCACGCTGCTGCCCCGGGGCCCAGAGGCCAAAGGCCTGTCCCACAGGGCCTGGGCAGCTGGAGAGGGAGGCAGGAGAGCTGGGAGCAGCTCCCGAAGTCCAGCCAAGGCCAAGCCACTGCCCTCTCCAGCCCCAGGCTGCCCGTGTGGCTTCAGCCCCTGCCCCCTTCTCACCATGGAGGGATCCACGCTCAGCACCAGGAGCCCTCGCAGAGCCAGGCGCCGCCTTTCTGGGCACTGACTCTGCAGGTGCCTTGCCAGGATCTGCAGGACACTGTCGTGACAGGTGCTCACGTCCAGATAGTCGAGGACCTGGAAGGCAGAGAGCAGTGCCGGGGTGGCCGGGCGGCTGGAGCGCGGAGCCGGCCAGGGCTGGGCCCAGGCAGCAGCACAGGGCGCAGGCACCGTCCCAGGCAGCTGCGGTGCCAGAGGGCAGAGAGGGGGAGGCAGCGGGGCCAGGTAGCGCTGGCCATCGGGCTCACCTCGACAAGGAAGGCCAGGGCAGGCAGCTCCCAACGGGGCCCCTCCCTGCTGAGCAGCCCCAGCAGGTGCCTTGCCAGCGGGCCATAGGAGGGGACCAACATGCGGCGCATCTCCCTGTCAGGGCAAAAAGGGAAGCCTCGGCCCTGAGTCGGGTGGGCAAAGCTCTGCCAGCTGGGCCGTCCCTTGGGGCCAAGGCCCTCTGGCCCACGCCCACAGGGGCTGTGTGGGCTGCCCCATGCTAAGGGCAGAGATGCCGGGGGTAGCGGGGACAAGGCTGTCTCACCTGGCCAGCAGCCCCACCGCGTAGTGGTGGGTGTCAGCAGAGAGAAGCGCGTCCCAGCCACGCTTGCGCTCCACTGACACCAGCTCCTGGTCCCACTGTAGCCGCCAGAGCAGGGCCTGGATGGTCTGCACCACAAAGCTGTGTGCAGAGCAAAGGCCACGTCACGCTGGGAGCCCTGACCCCAGCCCCGAGGGCATGGTAGGGAGAGGGGACGGGCATGGAGCACCTGTTGGGGTGGGTGGGAAGGCCGTGTTGCTCCTGGCATCCCCTCCAGAAGGTGCTGACCTCCTCTGGCATCTGCTCTGTGCTCATAGAAACTTGGCAGAGCAGAGCCACCAGGAGACGAAGGGCATGAACCAAGAGTGCATCTTGGCACTGGGGCTCCTGGACCATCAGCCACAGGGCCAGGGTTGCCTGCAAGAAAGCCACGTGGAGACACCATCAGTACCCAGAGGGAGGGAGAGACCAAGGAGAGCCAGGGGGAGCAACCAACCTGCTGCCCCTGAACCTGCCCCTCAGCCCCATTTGCAGCCCAAGGCCTGAGGGAGATGCAGCGGTGGAGGAGGATGGAGAGTCGCTGCAGAAACTCACAGCCAGGGCAAAGACATCCACGTGGTCTCCGTCAGAGGTGGACACGCTGTGCAGTGGCCAGTCCTCCATCACCCTGAGCAGCGTTGGCAGCACCTTGTATGCTGTGGTGGCCGAGGAGGCGATGGTCCTCCACAGGATTGCAGCAGCTCTGTGGAGGCAGAGCTCTGGGTCAGGGGGTCTGGGTCTTGACAGCTCTGAGGGCCCAGGTGACAGAGCCACAGTGCCTTGAGGGGCAGGGAGGGCACATGGCAGTAGGATCGGGGACTGACATGCCAGGGCTGGGAACTGGAGGGGCCAGAGGGTCCTGGAACTGAGGGTCAGTCTGGCAGAGCAGGAGGGACAGGCTGGCCAGGGGGCTGGGTTGTAAAGGCTGGTGAACCCTGAGGCAGCAAAGCAGCTGGGCCCTGTACCTGTCACACGCTGGGGCACAGTGCAGGAGAGTCGTCACCACGTGGCCAGGGTGTGTGTGGGCCAGCCTGCGGATGGCAATGGGCGACCTGACCTCTGCAGACTCCTGGCGCGTGAGCCACTGGTGGATGGGGCTGACACTGGCCGGCACCTGGAGGGGAGTGGGGGACACTTGGAGAGCTGCCAGAGCCAGCAGGTTGCCCAGCTTGCCACGGAAAGGGCTTCCCTTCCCACCACACTCTACTGGCCTCAAAGGCTCAGGCGGCCACAAGACCCCTGTGGGACTCGAGCCCTGACCACAGGCTGCTTACTTCATTTGCACTGGAGACGGTTTTCTGCTCCAAAACATCCAGACTGGGAGCATCAGTCACACTGTGCATGAGCGTGCAGTCAGTGTTTGTGATGCCCTCAGTTGCGGCATCAGCCTTGGCCCCGACATCAGTTGGTGCAGTGTCAGAGCTTGTCTCGGTGTCAGCCAACACGGTGTCACAGGTGGCTGTGCCATCCATCGGTGCCAGGTCAGAGGTTTGTGTGCCCTCGACTGGTGCCATGTCAGAAGTTTCTGTGCCCTCGATCCATGCTGTGTCAGAGGTGGCTCTGCCATTAACCGGTGCTGTCTCAGAGGTGTCTGTGCCATCAAGAGGTGCCGTGTCACAGTTGGCTGCGCAATCGGTTGCTGCCACGTCGGTGGTCTCTGTGCCATCAATCACTGCCACGTCCGAGGTTACTGTGCCCTCAACTGGTGATGTGTCAGAGGTTTCTGTGCCCTCAATCTGTGACGTGTCAGAGGTGTCAGTGCCATCAACCCATGCCACGTCACAGCTGGCTGCACAATCGGTTGCTGCCATGTAGGTGGTTTCTGTGCCATTGGTCACTGCTGTGTCTGAGGTTTCTGTGCCATCTGTGGGTGCCACGTCACCACTGGCTGCACAATCAGTCGGTGCCATGTCCGAGGTTGCTGTGCCATCAGTCAGTGCCATGTCACCACTGGCTACACAGTCCATGGGTGCCATGTCACCGCTGGCTACACAGTCCCTCAGTGCAGTGCTGACATCAGCCTCCGCCTCAAGCTCGGCTGCACTGGTGTCAGGCTGTGCCATGAGCTCGGGCGGTGCGGTCGTGGCTGTTCTGCGCCGAACACCCATGAATTTCAGCAACCTCTGCAATAGAAAAAAGGGCAGGGAAGAGAGGGAAGTGGCATGGAGTGCTCTGACAGCAGTGCCAGGCAGAGCAGGGACAGCAGGCCCAGCCCAGGGGGGGATGGCTGCAGGTACCTGAACTGCCCTGCGCAAGCGGCCACGGGCGCGGTCCTGCTCTTCTGGGCGGTCCCGGCCTGGATCTGGCAAAGAGCGAGCGTAGTCAGAGCTGAGGGGCCGCAGGAGAGGCCAGAGAACACAGTCCTGCCCTGCGCTCCACAGGTGGGATGCCCTGGGATGCCCAGGGGATGGAGCACGGATGCCGGAGGGATCAACCTTGGGCCCTCTTTTCCCCTCCCTTTCCCTGGCCATGTTCAGAGGGGACGGCAAGGGGCCCAGCTGGCTGCAGCCACCATCCCTGTGGCCCAACTCTAGCACTCACTCTGCTGCAGTGGCTGGAAGTGCTGCACCTCCTCCTCTGCTTCCTGTGCTGGGCCAGCTCCAGGGCCTCTCCTGTTCTTCCTCTTCCTCCGGAGCAGCCGGCACAGGCCGAAGCATCCCCCCGCCATGGCACAGTCTGGTCTTGAGGGCACCTGCGGGAGAGAAACCTCGGAAAAACCCCTGGTGGCCAAGTGTCACTCAATGGCCTGTGGGGCTCCTGCCACAGGGACTGGGGATGGCTTGGAAAAGCCCCTGGTGGCAAAGTCTCCAAAAATGACCTCAAGGGCCACTGCCACAGGGACTGCTGATGGCTTGGAGAAGCCCCTGGTGGCAAAGTCTCAAAAAACGGCCTCAAGGGCCGCTGCCACAGGCACTGATGGCTCCTCGGAAAAGCTCCGGGTCACCAAGGCCCGTGGCCTGGCCTCGAGGGCCACTCCCACAGGGAGCGGGGTCACCTCAGAAACGCTCTGGGTCCCCAACTCCTGTGCTGTGGCCTCGAAGGATCTTATTCGAAAGAAAGCTCTCAGAAACGCTCCTGGTCGACGAGAAAGGAGTTGGCTGCGAGGAAGCTCCTCACAGCACCGCTCTGTCCCGTCCTGCCCAGTCGCCCGCTCCGAGCACGGTGGCGTGGCCGCGTTGCCACCAACACCTTTATCACCATGGGTCACAAAGGACACCATCCCATCCCCTGGGCGACGGCCACCGTGTCACAAAGGGCCCTGTGACACACTTCCATGGGCCCTGGGGCCTCCCCCAGCCCGACCAACCTGCCCCAACTTGGAAGGAATCCATTCCTGAAAGCGGCTGCAGCCACTGGGGGTAAGGCTTGGCATCTGTGCCAAGCCGACCTGCTGCCCCTGAACCTGCCCCTCAGCCCCATTTGCAGCCCAAGACCTGAGGGAGATGCAGCGGTGGGGGAGGATGGAGAGTCGCTGCAGAAACCCACAACCAGGGCAAAGACATCCACGTGGTCTCCGTGTATGCTGTGGTGGCTGAGGAGGGCCATGTGGCAAACATGTACCTTTGGTTTTACCTGCTCTGGACCCTCTGACCATCCCCTCCAGGCCCTCTGACCCAGCAGCCACTGTGGGGCTTCCAGGCCGGGCTGAGGGGCTGGGTTCTCCCTCTCCCTGCCAGTGGGAGCTGGGTGTGGGGCTGCAGGGGCTGTGACTGGAAGAGGAAAACAATTTGTTTGAAATACAAAAGTTTAAAGACCTTATTATGTCACCCTTCAAGGTGGGAACATAATTTGCACATGAAAATAGGGACATATCTGGAACTAAGTTAATTTAAGTGTGATAAAATTCTCTCAAGTGAACAAATAGAAAAAAACCAGCAATGAGAAACCTCTACAACCTTTTGCCAGTTGTAGTACAGAAAGAATTTTTTTATTTTTTTTATTTTAAATAGAGTGATGGATTACATCTATATTTTACATGAAAGTCATCTTGAGGCCCTAAGATTATCTCCCTGAACAGTTTCATCTTGCATTCTCATAGCCTAGCTTTCAAACACACTACCCTGAGTATTTTAAAGTTCTCTTGGGCAAACAGGTTCACAGGTTAGCATACCACTGAACATACCAGATGGACTATCCCCAGGCTACCTCTGAGTAGTGTGGCAATGAGAAGCAGTCGTTGAGATAGGATGTGATCACAAGGCAGGTGGAAATACTTGAAATGCTTACTGCTGTTGGTTTGAAAAATACTATTCAACTGGGCACAATTGTGCACCTGCTCCTCAAGTTACCATAACAGGACATAAACTAATTATATTTGGCACTCCTTGACTTTGAATTTAACTGAAATGGAGCTAGGAGATTTTTTGTTACTTTAGAAAAGATGGAATTTGGGTTTAAATTTGTACACAATTTATCTAGTATAACAGCATGTCATAGGGATGCAGTGCATTGTTGTATAAAAGCTAGCTGATATATAATTTAGAACTGAAATGCAAAGCTTACACAACCTGAAGTGTCATCAGCTGATGCCTGACCAGCCTAATCTCTTTGTTTTCCAAAGAATTTACACTAATTTCTGAAATCACTTTTAGACATATTGTGTTGGTGTTGTTTACGCCCTTAGTGAATTCATGGTATTCCCTGACTCGTTGCTATCATTGCTGCAATTTTGGTTGACAGTAGTGATGTGTGTTTCTTGTGGAGCACACAGCCAGTCCAGGAAGCTGCACCATAGGTCAAATCCCCAGTGCTCTTACTCTGCTTTGATTTTGAAATTAATCCAAGAAAAAATTGGTCTCGGTCAAGATTTACTAAAATATTGATCGCTACTTTGTAGTTTGTGGTAGTCAGTATACTCCAGCAGTTTCTTACATTATGATATTTTAACAAGAGCACTGGAAAAGTAACAAAATTTTAAAAAATAACTATAGATAGATTCATTTCACCTCTTACTTTAAAAAATATTTATGTAATAATCACCTATCTTTGGTATAAAACTGCTATTAAAAATATCTCATGAATAGACAGCATAGTCCAGCTTCATTAATGAAAACAGAAACTATCTTCTATACTCTTTATCTCTGTGGAATATATTATATATATGAGCACTCTGTACTTTAGATTTGGTTTGCTTGTTTGTTTTGTTCACTACTGGTTTTGGCTGGAATAGAGTTAGTCTTCTTCGTAATACCTTCTATGGTGCTGGTTTGGATACGTGACCAAAACTATGATGATAATGCAGCTACTGCTGAACCATGCTTACACAGTGTCAAGGACTTATGTGCTTCTCATGCTACTCCACCAGTAATTACTCTGGGGATGCACAAAAAAGCTGAGAAGGGACAGAGATAGGACAGCTGACCCCAGCTAACCAAGTGGATACTCCATACCATGTGTATGATTGTAGCATTAAACCTGCATTAGATGGGAAAACTGTTGTTTAAACATGTCTTAAAATGGCTCTTTGTGGTGTCCTTGCAAACACATGTTTCTTCTTCCCAACACCCCCCACGACAAGTGTTATCTCAGGAATGTCCTGGGAAGGTGTCCTGAGGTGTTTCCCATTGGACCTTGTAAACCCCTTCCTGTGATTGGGTGTTCCCTTGAGACTTCTAATTGGTTAACCTGTGATTCTCCCTTACCCTATAAATGTAACACCCCCAACAATAAATGCTCTCTTGCCTCCTCTCCACACCCGGTGTGCTGTCTCTGTGCCTGCCATGGGGCCACGTGCATGGGAGGAGGGGGGGGGCACCTCTCCCCTCCAGGTTCAGGACCTGAAACCCCTGAAGAAAGCCCTGGAGTTCCCTTTTCCCATCCTTCAAGACATCGGAATGGTTCTTCAGATGGAGATGGAACTAGAACTGGGCCTCCCCACGTCGTGGGTGGGAAAGGGATCCAGATATGATGTCCTGCTCAGCAATAAAAACTGGGGAAAGAAATGGGTACCTTTGAAGTTAGGGCATTTGTCTATACAGATAACCACTACGTGCAAAAGAGTCCTGCTTTCCTGGAGATGGATGAATACCTACTGCTGAGAAGTAGTGAATTAATTCCTTATTTTGCTTTTTTGCATGTTCACCTTTTGCCTTACCTATTAAACTCTCTTTGTCTCAATCCACGAGTTTTCCCGCTTTTACCCTTCCAGTTCTCTCTCCCATCCTGCTGTGGGGCAGTGACTGGGCAACTGTGAGGGGCTTAACTGTCTACTGGGGTTAAACCACAACAACTAGATAAGTGTTTTGCTCCATTGCATAAAGGTAGTTGAGCACTGACAGGGTCTAATGTGGTCAAGGACAAAATTTTAGATTCTCTATAGTAATAAAATGGAGATATTGATTATTGCCATAAGGATATACACTCACTTTAGTTGAAACGTCATTGCCCTCTACACGGTGCCTGCCTTTAAGCAACTTGTCAGACTACATGACATGAAAATGTTATTTATATATTCAAATAGAAACAGAGACTTGCTTTAGTCTATAATATGCTCAAAGGGTTCTGTCAAAAAAAGAATTTTGAAAAATGTGTACTTACCAAAAGTAAGCCACTCAGATTATTCCAGCTTTTGCTATAGATACAATAACCTCATGGAAGAGTTTACGTAGCCATCTCTTGGCACCACAAATTTGCCAGAGGCAATTTTGGGTTCAGAAATTATTACAGTTAATGTCTGAAAAGGGAGCTAAGACAATTGCCAAGTAACAAATGCTTGCCTGGAGATGTGTGAATGTAATCTCTAAAAGTAGTATAAAGAAGCAAATAAGTGGAGATTAGGAACTGAAAATAACATGAGGAAGGAACAGGAACAGAAGATGAAAGAGCCAACTGAAATCATTCAAAGTAATATTTCATTGCAAAGCCCATAACAAAACACTGATGATACAAAGCTGTCATGGTAAATCAAAGCTGATGTATGCATTAAGTGTGTTTGAGAGAGAGATGGTAAATGAGGTATGTGTGACAGTAAATTGGGATTCTGGCCTGTAGGAAGAGGTGGCAACATTCTGAATCCTCTGCAGAGTGACTGTGCCAGAGGAGGAGAACTTATCTCACATGAGGAGCCTCATATGTTCTGTTATTATTCATAACTTGTTGGGTTTTTGCTGTTTATTTTTGCTCAGAAAATTGGTGCTCTTCTATGACAGCATTACAGCATTGGTGGATAAAAGAAGGAGGGTCTGACATCATCAACCTGGACTTGTGCAAAACATTAGACACTGTCCCACACAACATGGTTGTCTCTAAAACTGTGACACATGGATTTGACAGGTGGACCGCTTCATGGAAAAGGAGTCATCTGGATGGAGACATTCAAAGAATTGTCAACAGCTTGATGTGTGGGTAGAGACCAGTGACAAGGGGTATTCCTCAGGGATTGACACGGGGACAAGTATTATTTAACATCTTTGTCAAGGATTGGACAGGACTATAAACTTGAGCGAAGGGATGCCATCCACATGGACCTTGACAGGCTTGAGGATTGGGACCATGGGAACCTCATGAGCTTCAAAAAGGGCAGGTGCAAGGTCCAGCACCTGAGTCAGGGCAATCTCAGACACGGTTACAGGCTGTGTGATGAGTGGACTGAAAGCAGCCCTGCAGAGGACTTGGGGGTATTGGTGGGTGAGGATCACAACATGTCTCATCAATGTGTGCTCACAGCCTGGAAAGCCCACTGTATCCTGGTCTGCACCAAAAGTGTGGTTGACAGGTCAAGGGTGGTGATTCTTCCCCTCTACTCTGTTCTTGTGAGACCCCACCTGGAGTATTGTGTCCTGCTCTGGGGTCCCCAACACCAGAAACACATGGACCTACTCTATCAGGTCCAGAGAAGGACCGTGAAGATAGAGCACCTCTGCTCTGAAGGCAGGTTGAGAGAGCTGGGGCTGCTCAGCCTGGAGAAGACCTTCTAGCAACCTTCCATTACCCAAATGGGGTCGACAAAAAATGGGGTCCCTTTATCAGGGAGTGTAGTAACAGGATGAAGGGTAACAGTTTAAAATTGAAAGATTTAGATTAGATGTTAGATATTAGGAATTGATTTTTTACTGTGAGAGAGGTCAGACACTGGAACAGGTTGCCAAGAGAAGTTGTGGATGTCTTATTCCTGGAAGCGTTCAA